ATAATTTTTAATTTTATTTAAAAAATTATAAATACTTTTCAAAATTCCAGGCAAATTTGCCTGGAATATGGTTTAAGGGATATTTTATGAAATCATTTAATAAATTCAAAAAAAAAACTGATGAAATGAATGCCAAAAGTATAACGAGTAATTGCCTATATTGTAATTGCGGAGCTCACAAAAAATCTGAAATTGATCAAATCCAGTTAAATCAAAAAGAGCGATAATACGGTATATACTAGTTAGAATAATACTATATTATGATTATTATCATAAGTTAAAGCAAAACATTCTTTTTTATATATAAACAATTCCTCTCAACTAACCTCTTTGCAATTAAAAAAACTAATCAGCAACTATTTTGTTTAGAAAAACTTAAGAGCTCTCTTTAAACAAAGTCAAATTATTAGTGAGTTAGCTAGTAAAATCTGCAAACAATTAAATAAATTGCCTAAAATGAATCTACTACCTTGCTATTCTAGTGGTCACAGTATGTGGTTAAGGTTATATGGGTTAGCATTAGAGTTTTCATGATTTCTAATATGAGCTATTGTTAGTATCATAGGCCAAATTGACTATAGTAAAACTACTTTATTACAGTAGACACTACTCACCAAACCCAAGTTCAAAAAAAAGAGGCAGAAGGTATACCAAGCGAAATTTCAGGATCAAAAGATTACTTCTTTGGATACTTTCAGACACAGTGATTTTATTAAAATGCGGCAGAGAGGAATCTTCTTAATGGACCTAATTGTCTTAGTAATTGATGCCAAAGACGGTTATATAAAAAATTTTGCTATAGAGCCCACTCACTATTCTAGTAAGTTAATTTGTACTAAATTGTCTTGATTTTTATGTGGTTAAGTTTGAGTTAGTTTTGCATAAGATCTGAATTGAAAAATAAACTTACATCGCTTTTATATATAGTACAAAAACAGAATATAATAAAACAAAAAGTGACAAATAAATCGATTCCAGGAAAGCTAATAAAAAAAGGTTATCAAAGTCAATAAAATATCTAGTGAATAGGAATAGACCAGACTAGACTTAGTATGCCAGCAAAAATAAAAATACTTGTCGCCATTATTTCTATACTCTACAATAGCCATCTTATTAGCCTTTTTCTAATATTATTTCTAAAACATTAAATGACCTACGTAATTAAGGTTTGTACTTTTTAGTGTATGATTTTTTCCTTTAAAAAAATAGACTTTAGACAACTTCGTGAACTTGGTTACAATTATTAACATGGTATTAGAGTTAAAAAAGACAAAAAGAAGGATAAGCTGTCACTTATGTACCATCTATAATCATACTATCATAGTTATGTTAATCTTACCTTAGTAGTATTAAAGCAGCTAAAGTTTTCCCTCTTGCTCTAATACTGATAAAATTAAATTTACGGCATCGCTTTTTCTGATAAAACTTTACTGAAATTAGTAAATTTTTTCAAATTTGAAAGCTTATTACCTTATTCGTTATATATTACTTATACGAAATTTGCTTAAATTTGCTCTCTAAGTAAAGTCTTTAGTGATAATGATCTATACTGATCTTTTTTCGCTATAGACATATGAAGAGGTAAAAAACACTTTAAAATAGTTTTAAAAAAAATTATTATATAAAACCACAAGTTGTCAATTGATGATATAGTTTTTCATAGTAAGAGTTACTTTAAAAATTTTTATTTATGTTGTGTAACTTAGGGATCTTCAAGCCAATCAAATTGAATGTCCGCCATGCTTATTTTATATAAGTTTATTAGAGACTTAAAGTAATAATCAATTAGTGAAACTATATATATATATATATACTATAGTTATAGTTTTTATTATTAAATTAAATAAATTACAGCATACAGTATAGTAATAACTAGGCACAAGTAGGAATGCTATTTTATCAGAAAAAATTTAATTTATCTATATTGATATATGCCAAAAATGGATAACGTAGTAGCGTAATGCTAGATGGAATTAAAATTAGAAGTCAATCGAAATTCCAAAATAATCCGAAAAAAAAAAGAATAAATATATGTATGAAATAATAAATATTGCCAAAATAGATTGTTATTTTATTTTTTATATAATAAAGCTAGCTCTGATAGCTATTTTTACATAAGTATTTAATCGTGTTTATTTTTACATATGTATTTCGGGAATTTATTACATTGTATATATACTAGCCCACATATTTGATTGAGAATTTTCTTGGCAAAAGTGATTAGTGTTACAAATTGTAATGCATATATAAAAAAAACAAATTTTTGTAAAGAAGCTTAGTAAAACGAAGACTCATATGTAACCATTTCAGAGCATTCAGAATAAAGAAAACTTTAGGCACTTTCATACAATAATGTATTTAAAATGTATTTGTTTATTAGTAATATTATTGATAGGATCAATATAATTTTAAAATATATATTTTAATGAGAACATAATTTTTTTCAGAGGCTGTTTCTATTTAAACTAAGCCATTCTTGAACTAGTGTAAAATTATTAGATATTTTTATACATGACTTTGAATAATCATGAAGAATATCCACATTGGATTCGAAAATAGTCTGCGTGCGATAGCATTAGCATATATCATACCTTAATTAACTAAAAGCTTATAAAAAAAAAAATATTACCTTAACTGTGAAAAGAAGATCGATAATATTGACAATGCAAGGAAAAGTCGAATACTCAAAAGGATAATTAACTGTTAATATTCTTTCAGCAACAAAGGTTTTAGAGGCACCCAAATTCAATCTAAATAATTCATCTTTGTCCTCTATATTTTTAATAAAATCTTAGCTAGCAGTTATAACAACAGAACAAAAAACGATAGTTAAAAACTTACTTTATAACACATATGCTAATATATAGTATTTCTTTGCAAATTTTACGTCTCTATTTCCATTCCAGAAAGTTTTGCAAATCGAATCTACAGAGTTTCGAAAACATTTTAAAAGATCACTATTATACTTGGGATTTTGGGTCTTTAATTGTAGGCTGATATTCTCAAAAAGTAAGAATTTTTGACTAATATTTCCATAATTAAAAAGAATACCATCTGCTTTACATGCAGAGGTGTTACTATCACAGTAAACTATTTCACAATGCCATTTAGATGAAGGAACATCATTTTCATTCCTGCCAAAAAAGTGTAGTTAGACTAGTAATAAATATAGGTTTATACATTTGTACTTTTATTTGATTTACCATCTGCTGATGAATAATTTCAGAAAACAAAATTTTAGCATTTCAAAATCAGGAGATACTATTGTTGATGTGTATGTATTTTTATCTATAAGTAAGTCGAGTTTTTTGCCATGCCTAGCTTGAAATTGCATAAGCTTGATTTCTAATATTCATTTTATAAAGTTAACCTGTTTTGCATCAAAATCTTCAATGGTTGTTACTGATCGAATATTTGACATCATGGTGGTTAACTTGCGCTAAATAGGAAATTACAATATTATTAAATCAAAAAATAAACAAAAGGTAGACAAATATATTTATTCTTACAGCATAGTTTTCTTGTATCCACTTTTTAAGTCCATCAATCTTGATGTGGGGTGGAGGTTGGGAATACGCTTTTTCTTTTAATATATTGAAAAGTTCTCTATTTAATATTGAAGGGTTATCCAAACTTATATTGATGATGTCCGCTTCTGCTAAACTGTTTAATGAAAGTGTTCTATATGTAAAAATGATTTACTTTATTGTTGTTGGAAGAAATAACTGTAGTACCTTTTTTCAACATCATTGTCAGTTAACTTATCTTTTTCTTCATGATTAGCCTTATTATTTTCTAGAATATCTTCAAAAGATATCTATAATTCACAGATCTTTAGAAAAAATAAAAAAAAGATTTTCATTGAAATATTAGGCATTCATACCCCAGCTGATAAATTCTTCCCGTCATAATTTTTACTGTTATTACTCTCAATTGAAGGTACAAATTCTTTTTGTTTATCGCCTTCATTATCATCCAAGACCTAAATAATAAAAGGAAGTGTGAATTTATTGTGAATGATGAGATGAAAACACAATGAAGAATACCGCTATATTATTTTCTGGAGTTCAGATTGATTCATTGTCTTTCC